CCTTTTGTGAGAATTTGGACTATGCTCTGAAAATTTGGACCATGCTCAGGCTTCCTGGGTTTCTTTCCCCAAGCACCTCAGACCTAGGTGGGACCCGGAAAGAAACTGTTTTGGGAACAATTTTCAGTCTGAAATGTAGATTGCTCACTTTGCCCTCTGTCAGGACCTCAGGGCCTGGTGGTCCAAATGAGAAACTGGTAATCTAGCTGTGTGAAATGCCAAGGAAGGTTACTTCTCCAAGAACTAAATGCAGCATAAGTGATTAAACTGCTAGGCCTTTTTGTTTGTGTGTGTGTGTGTGTGTGTGTGTGTGTATGTGTGTGTGTGTGTCTGTGTGTGTGTATGTGTATGTTTTGCTACTCTGCAATCCAATCCCTAGTTCTTTGGTTTCTCTGCCCAACTATTTTTTTCTTTTCTTTAAAATCTTATTAAAACAACATGTGCCCTTTGTAAGAAATTTGAAAAGCAGAGAAGTAATGTGAAGAAGGAAAAAAGTCACCTATAATTCTATAACCAGAGGGAATCTTTTACATAAACATTCTTGAATGTTCTAGGGTTTTTTTTTCCTCTGTACTTTTTTCTTTGAGCTCATGTTGTTTATTACAATGTTTTGTTCTGTTCTTTTTGCTTAATGTTATGTAAAACATGTTTCCCCATGTCCATTTTAAGCTATTCCTAAACATTTTAATAGCTATATAACATTCCAGTAAATGGATATATCTTAATTGATTTGACCATTTCCTTTATTCTGGGCATGGGGTATTTTCCACTTTTGCCGATATAAAGAACAGTTTGGTTCCTGATGACAATACTCTAGAAGGATGCCTTTTTGTTCTTAGGTTGGGTTGGAGAGCTGCTGAGTAACAGTTGCTATGGAGCTCAGACTCATGGGACTGGGTCTTCTGTTTCAGCTCTGCCTATGTGTCCTATGGGGGCCTGCTCATGAGGCTGCAGGGTGATGCCAACAATCTGCATGGATTTGAAGTGGATTCCAGAGTTTATCTGCTGATGAAGAAACTGGCCTTCTGAACCACCCAGGGAGCCAGCCTTGCTGCTTACTCACGCACGTCATGGACGTTCGTTCAAGCCCGAGTAGCAGTTGCTGTTGTTCACCTGTTCAGGAGGGGCTGGCTCTCTGTCCACTGTGGGTGCATCTTTAGGAGGTCTGGACTCAATGGGAAACTGACTTGCCTGCAAAAGACCCAGTGGGAGAGCTTAAAATGAATCAGAAGTTGTTTTATGTATATGATTTTTTTAATTAAAGTTTACTTTTTCAGACTCTTTTTCCCTCTTTTTTAGCAAAGTTTTTTCCATTTATTTTAAAATCATTTTTTCCAGTTTGCCTATGGTATATTATGTTTCTGGCCCACAGCCAGATGGTCACATGTCAATGTAGGATCTGTCCCAACCTTTTGGTATCGGGGTTCAGGGTTATCTCCGTCTCCTGGCTGACTACCCCCAATATCTATCCTCCAATGTGATTTTCTGTCTGGGAGAGAGAGTGTTGTGCTTTTGGCTCCTGAGGGCACCACCCATTTGGCATAGAATCCTGAATAGGCAAGGAGCTCTGCTCGTGTTCTTCACTTTCAGTTTCTCAGGAAGTCAGATCACGTTGACTTGAATGAGTTGCTTGCATAGCCTGGAAATGTTCGTCATTTTTATGGAAGCTTTGAGATGAGGCTTTTCGACACATGCATAGGACACAACTCTGAAGAGGAGAGGAAGAACGATTTGGTGGTTGTGGAAGCGGGTGGAGGAGTTAGCTCTCTGCTTTACATTCTAGTGGTGACCTGGAGGGAGGGTAAGTGGTGGTGGTTTTTACCAGTGACACTGAACAGGGAGCTGCCTCACAGACCAGTGAAGTAGACAGGGCAGCAATACCAATGAGGTTTGGCAGTTCAGTGCCAGTGCCTGGGACAATACAGCAGTCTGACTGCAGTCACTAATTTATCAGTGGGGGAAGAACAAAGTTGAGGAAATGGCGATGCTTACAAGGACTCCAGCATCGGAGCTGCGTCTTCAGCCTGGCATTTGAGGTCTCAGACAGTACATGGGACTCTGATTTCCCCTGGGAAGTTCAGGGTAACAATCCAGGAAGATCATAAGTGTGTATTAAGTAGTTGTCTCTTTTTGTTTTTGCGGTACACGGGCCTCTCACTGTTGTGGCCTCTCCTGTTGTGGAGCACAGGCTCCGGACGCACAGGCTCAGCGGCCATGGCTCACGGGCCTAGCCGCTCCGCGGCATGTGGGATCTTCCCAGACCGGGACACGAACCCGTGTCCCCTGCATCGGCAGGGGGACTCTCAACCACTGCGCCACCAGGGAAGCCCAGTAGTTGTCTCTTTTGATATCCCTTTTTTGCCATGAGAGTTGGTCCTCCTGCTGGGATGCCTGGGGTATTTCCTTCCCCATCATTTTCAGGTCTTCACAGGAGGTGTTAGAAATAGTATTTAGGGAAATGGGTTGAAAATGAATGGCCTCTGTAGGGGGGAGGAAAAGGTATTTCTTTTGCTTTACTGTGGGGTGGGGGTGAGGGGAGAGGGAAGTAGGAGATGAAGTGGGAGTTGGGATGAATTTTTATAGAATCGTAGAACCTCTTCCGTGCAGTCAAATTTTTTTGTAGGGGTTGGAGAAGGATGGATTTAGGTTGGAGAAGGGAGAACCTAATTACCGATAACAGTTTGCAGGGTAGCTAATAGTTTGCGGGGTAGTGTAGCAGACTGTCCTAGCTGCCGTGGGGTGGCAGAAGAAAGAGAACTGGGGTACAGTTGAATAGAGATAAGAGCGTCCTCGTTGTAACAGGTTTTTGTCTTTTCTGTAAAGGGAAGAAGGGACTGAATCAGCCCGATAGAATGATTTGGGAATGGGTTAGATGCTCAGGAGAGGCAAGTTAGTTCCCACTGGAGAAGCCCATGGGTTATTTACGTTTGCCCTAGGGTAAGTCAAATGCCAGTACTGGATGCCTGGAACTTTCTGGCTACATACTTCTTGCAGTTTTGCCATCTTTGTCTCTCAGCTGACTGTCTGAAAACCCTTAATTCTTTGTCTCTGGTCCCTTTGGCATCTCTTGTACTGGGTGCTGGCTTTCATGTGCCATAAAATGTTTCATTTGATCATTAAATTTAACCTACTTTAATATTTCAGTAAGTTAAAATTTCCACTTACTATTCTCTTGACTCCATGCTGGAATTTGTAGTGTGGATGAACTGATTTTCTCCCACGGAGAAACTGACACCATCCGAGATTTGGACGGCACTTCTGAGCTTGGTGCATTTGTTGACTTTTTCTCCATGGCAACTGTTCTGTCCATGGGGTGGTGGGGGGAGACACCTGGAGATGCCTAAATTGGTCACCCCACCAAGAGCTTTGGTTTTCTACTCAGAACTCTTTAACTGTCGATGTGTACTCCCTAAGGACTTGGAAATTTTTTCCAATAAATAGAGTCACTGACTGATATACTGGACAGTGCACCACACTGGGGAATGTATGGGCTCCAGACTAAGTCATCCTAGGGTGTTTCTTTTCCTGTTCACAGGCTGTGAAACCATTGGGAACTTGCCGGGCTTCTCTGAGCCTGTTTCCTCATCCGTAAAGCAGAGATGATAATACCTACCTTATAGAGATGTGTGAGTGTTAAAAAGGATAATATGCCTAAGTTTCTTGACATACTGGCTTTCATTCTACTGTTTTGGAATGCCTTTAATGACCCTGGGGTTTTGTGGTAGTGTTTGGAACCCTAGGTTTCTGGCTCCTCTACCTACATGCTAACTTTTCCTGTCCTTTGGGGAGTTGAGGTGGGAGAGGAAAAAGCTTCCATTAGTTTTCCTACAGACACCTCTGGAGGTAGTGTTGACCTTGCAGTGGAGTGCTTGGGGCAATATAAACCTTCCCAAGCACCATGGTGGCATTTATTCAGAAAGCCCCATAAGCCTGGGCTTCTTTTCTAGAGATCCCCTGGCAGAGTTTATGGTGTCACACAGGGTTGCTTTTTAGATACTATACGCTTCTGGGAATTGGGAAATGAGCCTTCAACTTGCACTTGACTTGTGCTTGTCCCTCCTGCTGTGTGAGCTCTAGGAGACTGACTCAAGCCACTTCCTGCATTTCCCCCTGACCTCCACAGGAGGGAGGCAGGAACCCACGCCTGGTGAAGCTTCCTGCTGAGCTGCTGAAGTGCTGGCTGTTTGCTCAGCTGTCACATCCAGGTCTCATCTTGTCTGACTGACCCGTCTGCACAGCCTTACCTGTAAGGCTCTCCAAAGCTTCCTGTTAGCTTTTTCTCAGGGAGGGGGGATCTGTTGCCCATGAGAAGAACATCTTCCCCTCGCTTTGCAGGTAGCTTTTGGGTCCTCTCCTTTATTCTGTCTTTATACAGTCTCAGTTTTGTCTATTGCTTAGGAACTGCTTTTCTGAGAGACTTCTCATTCATTTCTCAAGAGTAAGGATCTCCTAAGAAAAGCAGATCAGAGCCCCATTAAGAATGATAATAAAGGGGGTAAAGAGACTAACCTTAGTTCTGAGCAGAAAACCAAAGCTTTTTTTTGTCATAAGCCCTACCTCTGTTCAGAAGCTAGGCCAGGCCAGGCGTTTGCAGAATTCTCATATGAAAAAGAGTATACAGAGAAATAGTAAGTTATAAATTTGTGCAGAAGATAGACCAGAGATAACTAACTGCTCTGGTGAACATTATTAATAGTTAAAAAAAATAGCTTTTGTAGTTTTATGGCATGTAGTAAAAAAATTATACTTTTTCTGTCCTGCATGTCTCCCTTCACCAGGGCTTTGGGTTTCAGGTGAAAGCAGGAAATCTGGTAAAGGCATACCTCGGAGATATTGCAGGTTCAGTTCCAGACCACCACAATAAAGTGAATATCACAATAAAGCGAGTCACACAAATTTTTGGTTTTTTTTTTTGTTTCCCAGTTACGTTTACATGATACTGTAGTCTATTAACTGTAATAGTATTATGTCTAAAAAAAAAAAAGCAATGTACATACCTTCATTCAAAAATACTTTATTGCTAAAAAATGCTAACCATCATCTGACAACACAGGGTTGCCACAAACCTTCAATTTGTAAAAAATGCAGTATCTGTAAAGCATAATAAAATGAAGCACAATAAAATGAGGTATGCCTGTATAGCTGCAGTTGTCTCCCAGGGCCTCTCCTCCGAGTAAGGGGATTGTACTTGGGAGGCGATGCTGATGTCGGCAGTGCCGGAGTACCTTACTCTTCCTGAGACAGATTCCGGAAGTGAGAGTGGGCTGCAACTAGAAGATGACTGGTAGAGTTGGGTGTGATAGCAGAGGGGTCAGGAAGCATGGGTTGGAGCTGGACCGTGGGGATGGGCAAGGTGGGTGAAGGAGAGAAGAGTGTGTACTGTCCAGGAGGAGGATGGGCTGGGGAAGGAGACTCTCCAGGCTGGAGGTAGGGTGACAGGGAGTCCATGTCTGAAGTTTCCGGAGGAATATCCGGGGCTCTTAGGGCCCTGGGTGTGGGTCCAGGAAAGAGTCCGTGAATTCCACTCAGGGGTCCATGTGTCCTGTTCAGGTGTCCAGGGATTTGGTCTAGGGACCTGGAGGTTTGGTTCAGCAGACCAGGAATCTTGGCTCTGAATCCCTGCAGCCTGTTCAGAAGTCCAGAGCCAGTAGTTCTGGCTGAGACACTGGAGTTTGTCTCCAACAATCCAGAAGTCCTGTTTGGGAGCTTGTTCAGTATGAGAAATGGAGAGGTGTTCCCCGGGATAGCTGTGGTAGGTGGGGCCCGCTTGGCACAGAGGGTGGGTCCCACTACAAGCAGCAGGAAACGCACCTTTCCTCGGAGCAGTCGTTGGAAGCTCAGGAAGATGGCACTGGGATCCTTGTGAGCTGTGGTCCTGCCCTGCGCAGAAAGCTGAGGGCAGAGGATGGGCCTGAGGCCAGAGACCTGGGCCAGATATCATGCCTCCCTGTCTATGTGGGAAAGATAAGGTACCAGAACCCAGGCTTTGTGGCTGGAGGGAGCACTCCTTGGCAGGTCAGCTCTTCCACCCTCAAGATTTCTAAAATTCCCCTTTCTTCCCTCAGGTCTTCTGAGGGGACCGAGTCAGAAAAGAAAGACAGCTTCTATAGTTCCCTTGACTGGGGACTTACCTGGGTTCCTAGGAGGCCCTGCAGGGCCCCAAGGAGGAGGCGGACCTGTCCAGAAAGCTGCACCAGTAGGGATGAGAGGCAAGTGGGTCCCAGTTGTCCCCGCGCTGCCATCACTGCCTCCAGCAGAAGGGTCGAGGCTCCCAGAACGTCCTGTGCCTTGGTCTGTTCCTGGGAAAGAGATGGAAGAGAGAAACGGACAGCTTCAAAGGGTATGCTAATAGCGGGTGGGGAGCCTGTAAGAGTAGCCAGCAGAATGAATCATAGGAGCTGAGAATTGGACAGGACCTAGGTCCCACCCAGTACAGGAATTCCTTCAGTCTCCCGACAATTGGTCATCAGCCTCTGCTTGAATAACGCCAGTGTCCAGTAACGCAGCCTGGTCTCGCATGTAATTTCAGTGAGAAAAGCTCTTTTTTTTTTTTTTTCTTACATTATGCTGAAATCTGCCCTATTATAGCTTTTACTTCTTGGTTCTAGTGCTGCAAATCTACTCTTTCTGCTACAAAATCAGGATCATATGATTAAAAAAAATTAATGTAGATATAAGACCATCATAAAGATTATAAAGATGAAGGGAAGGGGCTTGCTGATAAATGGCAGAGCTAGAGCTACAAGGGATCACTAGCAATTACACTTCCTCCCTGTCCCAATCCCCCAGAAGACCTGAGGGAAGCAAGGGAATTCTAGGGATCTTGAGGGTAGAGGAGCTGACCTTCTAAGCAGCACTCCCTCCTGGTAGGTTTCCTGAGTGTGTCTCAGACTGAAGCACTTCATGCTCTACCACAAGACTGACACTCTTCTCCAAGCTAATCACACAAGCTTTATTATTTTTTTAAACCATTCCTTGCATAACATATTTTCTGACCTCTCACTGTTCAGGTTGCTTTCCTCCTTTTGGAAACATGCTAGTTTACTATGGTCCCTCTGAGTAAATTAGCATGTTTCTAAAAGAGGATGGCTAGTACTCAGTGCAGTAGTTTAAGTGCAGTCCACTCATAATAGAGTTTTTTAGGAATATTTCTACAATGTGGATGTTAAACATCTAAAGCCACCTATGATCCCTACCTTTTTAAGTAGCTACTTCAATAATGTTGTTACAATGCTAAGTTTGGGGTCAATCCAACCCTCCCAGGTCCTTTTCATAGTAAGTACTAGGGCTAGAAGTTTATATGAGGTACGTAGGGACACTGTGGCCTGAAAGCTGGAATAGGATTTTATTCAATTACTTTTCACATCTAGAATTTTATATACATCTCTGTTAAATTTCACCTTGTTTTTGACCTAGCCTTTTAGCAGTTTGAACCTTAATTCTGTTTTTTGTTATTTTAGCTGTGCATCCCAGTTTTGTGTCATCTGAGGATGACAGATCAGTCTTGCTTCTTCACACCAACTTAAGAAGGCCGAACAGAAATAGGTCAAGAGCATGGCCATGAGAGACTTCTATCCAGCTTTTCATGGTGATCAACTTTGACTCTATTTTATGTAGTGGACCACAAGCCATCATCTTGTCCAGAGGATATCCCCACAGTAGAATGTATGTTGGGTTAGGGTGGCCAAGCTGAAGGTGAGATCTTTTTAGGGAGCTCAGGAATTTTGAAAAATCCATGGGAATCAGTAGGAAACACATGAAGACAGGATTCGGGAAACCAAGGGAAAGGATGGCTTTCTTACTGTCTGGGTTTTCCATTCTCCCAAGCTGAAGTCCACAGCAGGCAGCAGGACGGGTGTGGACAAAGGGTTAACGTCTGGGCACTGGCTCTGTTGAAAAAGATTGGTGGGGGGATGGTGGAGAGGGCGCTGAAATAGAGGGGGTTATGGTGGCCCAATTACCAGGACAGGCTTCCATGAAATAGAACCAGACTAGAGCTTTTAAGAGAGGGTTTGATTGTAAACCATAATCCTTGTGAAGGGGTGGTAATTAGGCGGGGGGTGGTCTTACTGAAGACAATATTAGAAGAGTAGTGATCGGAGGGCATGAGAGGAAGTGATAGGAGTCAGGGTATCTCACCAGTTAGGTGGATAGCGGGGAGAGTGCTTGGGGATTCTCACCAGTCTGCTGTGAAGGACATGGGAGTCACGAAGCAGTTTATTTAGGAGTCGGGGGTCACAGGCAGGAGGAGCCGGGCTGGACAGTGTTAGTCTTGCAGTTAGGAGAGGCATGACCACGAGGAGCAATTCTTAGATGAGGAGAGGTGAGGTTGAAAGGGGCGGATAAGGAAGAAATCATTGTTGGGTGGTGGTCCAGGAATTCCCACTTAGGACCCAGACCTGAAATCCACGGAATCTGCCTCTCAGAGGCCTTATTCCTGGGAGATTGAGGTCCCCCCTGCCCCCGCACCCCAGCACATCTCCTTTCTCTTTCCCCTCTACCGAGTTCTGATTTGGCCCTAGGTCTCTCGAGGGTTTTCTTACCAGTCAGCTCCATTCTGGCCAGGCTGTGTGGTTGGAGTGGCTCCCTGTATGGGGCCTCTCCCCTGAATCCGTCCTGGGGCCATGGAGGCGGCTTGGGCTCTTGCACTTCTGGGCAGAGTGGGGTGGGGCACAGGTGGGGCACAGGTGGGCCAAGGAGGAGGGTCTAGAATCTATCCTGCAAGTGACAGGAATAATGAACATTATTGAATTTCAAGGAAAACACTCTGCCTGGCTGGTGGAACAGATGCTGGGAGGGTGTGAGATGCTGACCAGCCTAGAACTGCTAAAGCTCAGACTGCTCCCACATCATCTTGTGAAGGTAGCGTACGGCATCTCCTCTTTGTCAGGGTTCCTCAGGATGTCTGAGGTGGCTCTGGTGCCCCTGCCCCCTGCCGAGAGCTGCAGGACAGGATATATACACACACATCTAATTGGCCTCAAAGTCTGAGCAACCCTGTTTGGTTGGAGAAAATCTGGGATGGGGATAGAGAAGGGAAGTATTGTGGCACAAGCCTGGAGAAGAGATTGGAAATGGGGTACAGGGCCAGGAGCTAGCAAACATGTACAATGTGCTCAGGGATAGCTTGGGGAGTGGGGTTGAGGAGGGAAATTGGGCAAAAATGAAACTTAACTACTAGAGGTCAGTGATTAAAAGATTGAGAAGGTGGTGTAGGAGAAATTAACCTCTCATTCTTTTTCTATTTACCCCAACATACAAAGCCTCTTGGAGTTTTTCTTTGCATTCTAAGTTCTGAAATACTGGGTTATCCAAGGTGAGGAGATGGGCTAACAGTCCTGGAACTTCCTTCCTGAAGCAAGTTGCCCAGGAACGAGCACAGGCTGGGTGAGATGATGCCCACCTTGCACGGCTTACCTTGCCTTAGACACCAACCATATCTGTCTCCTAGCCTGCACCTTCCTCCCTGCCCCCTCTGCAGACCCCTTCCGGTTCCTTTGCAGGACCCCACACATGGCTTCCTCCTTCTTTCACAAGTTGTGCAAAGAGGCCTGCACCTGATTCAATATTGGGATTTCCTGTAGGTCTGTCAACATGCATGAGCCCTCCTCCCATTACCCTCTCCTTGTGCCTTGGCTTGCCTGGCCCAGCTTCCCCAGCCCCAGGATTCAGAACCTTGTGAGCTAACTAGGAATGACTGGGTAAGAATGGGGATTGGGGCTGTGTCCAGCTTGGTGCTATGTTCCCTAGGTCCAAAAAAACACCTCCTTTCTTATTTTCTCCCTGGGACCATGTCCCCTTTCCTTAGGGCCAGCCGCGACCGTGCTGTATTCCACCAAGTCTGTGATCAGTCCCTCAGAACCCAGCACCCCACCCCCTACCCCTGCTCTGTCCTGCTCCTCCCATTCTGGGAAGGCTACACTCTTCTCGACAAAGGTCAGTGCCTGCAGGTTCCAGTTTGCCTGCCCCTCCCCCAGCAGAGAGCCCAATTCCTCTTTCCTGTCCTTCCTACCCTCACGTAACTCCAAATCTTGCTTGCCACTCACCGGGTGGAGAAGGGCTCCAGGACCCAGGTGCGGAGCAGGCGGCACTCTGGGGAGCAGATGGGTAGGAAAACAGGTGGCGCTGGGGCATAGCCCCTCCAGGGCAGTGGGGTCACAAGCCTGCCCGGGGCCACTTCTGCCCAATCAGAGAGCAGGGAGCCACTAGACACTGGCAATGGCCCCCGGAAGTGACGCCTTCTCCTCCCACCCGCGCAGGACCTGGAGCCCCTGCCTGGACCATGGTTCACTAGCGGAGCCCCGGATCCTCCACCCACGCACACCACACAGAGGATTTGAACGGGGGATCTGTCTTTCCCTAGGAGATGGGAAATCTGGGACCTGGTTGGGGGAGAAGATGGGAGGGAAACAGGTTTTTTCCAGGAGGATTCTGGCAGGACACTTTTGTCCCTGAGGAAGAGGCACGGAGGTCTGGCTCTAGAATGGTGGGTCTCTCAATTCCTGGCTGTCCAAATTTCTTTTCCCTGGACACCACACCTGCTGCTAAAATCTACTAGGACTCTTGCTTTCCTGCTTTTCTCGCCAATAACCCTCTGGGGGTCATGTCTTATGCCCCCTTTGCAAGTGGGAATGTGGGTGTCGCCTGTCAGGGGTCAGTGTTACCAGGAAGCAGTTTGGACAGTTTGAGAGGCCTTCAAGCTGAGGGGGTGCCTGTGCTGGATTAAGCTGTGCTCAGGTACCACTCTGTTGGGGCCCAGTGGCTCCGATGGCTAAGCCCACTTATCTCTGTGCCAGTGCCCTCTTTGCCTGCCCGGTCTTTCTCCCTCTTCCATCTCCTACCACTCCACATGTGACAAGAGGAATAACCAGGCCCATGTGTCCCTGTCTTAGGAAAGACAGCTGCTGAACCTCCCCCGCAAATACCTCCCGCTGGCCCCCCTCTTCCTTTGGCCCTGGCTCTAGTTCCTTTGCTTTCCCCTCAGTCCCACTCTCCCCACAGTCCGTCCTCAGGGGCCTCCTGGCCTGACCTTGTTCCCATCACCCCCTCCCCGCCAGTTCTTCCTCAGGCTGTGTCCTGCTCCTCCTCCCCAGGATGGGGCTGTCTGCTAAAGAGTATGGCCTAGATCCCAGAATTCTCCAGTTCAGCCAGACGAGATGCCTCCCAAGATTAGGAAGGAGGGTGCCGGGATGGTTGGGAGGATGGTGGGAGAGTGGGGGTGGGAGGGGGCAGGGAGGCCGTCATGACCAGGAAACCAAGACAAAAGAGGTTGTGGGTAGGATGGAGAGGCACAGGGTCCCCAGGGTGAAGGAAGAGGGTGGGAAAGTGCGTCAGGCTGGGGATGATGATGGTTGGATGGGCCTGAGCGCAGGTAACAGTAGGGAGAGAAACACTGTCACCAGACAGAAAGGGGATACTGTCTGTTTCTGGCCAAGTTCCTATCCTGGGGAACAGTAGAATGAGGAGAGAGCTCAGAGAAGAGGTAGGACACAGGCTAGGCAGTGAGAGTGGTGTGGGGTTTGAGAGGTGCTGTGGGCCCAGCGTCAGGCGAAGATGAGTTGACGGGCCTTTTCTGCACGGAGTCATCATCCTTAAAGACAATTCTTCATCCTTCCTGCAGGAACCCAGTCCTAGCCCAGTGGCTGGCCCAGGCCTCGGGCAGTCTCTGCCCCTCCCTGGTCTGGGGCTCCCATCCTGGGCCGGACACGCACCTCCTGGTCCAGCTTGGAGGGGGGGCTCCAGACCCGCCTCTCCTCCCCTCTTTGCGCCCCCTGGTCCCTCCCCTCCCCTCCCTCCCCTCCCTCCCCTCCCCCTCCCCTCCCCCTTCTCCTACAGCCCCTCCCTCCTCCCCTGCCCGGTTCCAGCCCCTCCCTCCCCTCCCCCATTCGCGATCCGGGCCGCTGCTGCTGGGCCGGACCCCCCGGGCTCAGCCCGGCCCCTCGCCGAGCCGCCGCCGCCGCCCCGTTTGCTGAGGAGGAGGCCCCCGGCCGGGGCGCCGGGCGCGGGGCATAAAACGGGCCAGAGCCGTCGCCCGGGGCACTAGAGCCGCGTACGGCCCGGGTCAGCGGCCGCCAGCCCGCCCGCGCTCCTCCCGGCCGCTCCTCCCGCCCCGCCCGGCCCGGCGCCGACTCCGCGGCCGCCCGACGAGCCCCTAGCCGCACAGCTCGGGCCCTGGCCCCGGCCCCCTCCCGCCGTACCGCCCCCGGCCCGGCCCTCCTCCCACCTCCCTCCTCCCTCTCCAGCTCCCTCCTCCCTCCCGCCTCCCCAGCTGTCCCGTTCGCGTCATGCCGAGCCTCCCGGCCCCGCCGGCCCCGCTGCTGCTCCTCGGGCTGCTGCTGCTCTGCTCCCGGCCGGCCCGCGGCGCCGGCCCCGAGCACCCAGCGCTGCCCATCCGGCCCGAGAAGGAGCCGCTGCCCATTCGGGGAGCAGCAGGTAGGTGGACGCCCCGGGGGAGGCGCGGGCGGGGAGTCCTGCTCGGGGCAAGTCTGCGCCCGCCCGGAGGGGGCGCCGGGTGCAGGTGGCTCAGTGCGGCGGGCGGCCCGGAGGGGTGGGCGGGGGCCGCGAGGCGCGTCGCGCCCGGGGACCCGGGGCCCGGCCGGCAGCGCCCGGGGCGGGTACACGGTAGGAGCGGGACAGCTGCCGCCAGCCAAGTCCGTCCCCGTAGGCTGCTCCTTCGGCGGGAAGGTCTATGCCCTGGACGAGACGTGGCACCCGGACCTGGGGGAGCCCTTCGGGGTGATGCGCTGCGTGTTGTGTGCCTGCGAGGCGGTGAGTGGACCCAATGGCCGTGGCCGGGGCCCTCGCGGGTCGGGGACCGCTGGGGTCTTGGGACGTCGGAGGGACTCGGAGTTGCTGAAGAAAGAGAAGTCAGTCTGCAGATACTGGGATATTTTTCTGAAGGAGGAAGCGGGGAGGAAGAGCCCCCTTCAAGTCTCAGGTGTTGCCTATTATTGATCACCCACTGTGTGTCAGGCTCTTTGCCAACTCCGTTTCGTCTGTCTCTCGCTTAACTCCTAGTACAACCATGCTAGATAGATACTATCATTACTCCCATTTTTCAGATAAGGACCCTACGGCCCATCGAGGTTAAGTAACTTGTCTAGAGTTATGCAGCTTGTATGTAGCAGAGCAGTCTCACCCCGTGGGAGGACCTTGCCCTGGTCCCGTGCCTCCTCTCGGCTCGCCTTTGAGTCTCACCAACAGCGTATTGCCCTCATTCGGTTTTCCCGTCTTCTCTGCGAGCAGCCTCAGTGGGGTCGCCGCGCAAGGGGTGCGGGCAGGGTCAGCTGCAAGAACATCAAACCCGAGTGCCCAACCCTGGCCTGCGGGCAGCCGCGCCAGCTGCCCGGACACTGCTGCCAGACCTGCCCCCAGGGTAAGGCCCGCTCCGCGGTGAGAGGAGGGCAGCAGGGCCACGATGCTTGGTCCTGGGCCACACGAATGGAGCGAATGGAGCGGCCAACTGGCCCTCCTCGTGCCCAGCTGAAACCCGCATCCCCCACCCCCGGTGCAGAGCGCAGCGGTCCGGAAAAGCAGCCAACGGGCCTGGCCTTCGAGTATCCGCGGGACCCAGAGCACAGAAGCTACAGCGACCGCGGGGAGCCTGGAGCTGAGGATCGGGGGCGTGGAGACGGCCACACGGGTAGGCAGGGGCTGTGCAAGTGAGGACCGGGGTCATGGTTGGGGTCGGGCTGCAGCAGCGGGTGACGGTACTAGGGATATCTTCCTTCCCTTACAGACTTCGTGGCGCTGCTGACGGGGCCAAGGTCGCAAGCGGTGGCACGGGCCCGAGTGTCACTGCTGCGCTCTAGTCTGCGGTTCTCCATCTCCTACCGGCGGTGAGAAAGGGGAAGGAGGGAGGAGGGGTCAGCTGGGGGCCAGGGAGGGAGAATTGGGGAGGCTGGAGGGGCTGCTTCTGGCTCAGGCTCGGAGTCCGTGCTCAGGGGACTCTCATTACCAGGCTGGACCGCCCTACCCGAATCCGCTTCTCAGACTCCACTGGCAGCATCCTGTTTGAACACCCTGCAGCCCCTACCCAAGATGGCCTGGTGAGATGATGCCGTTTATGAGTGCTTATCCAGTCTGGGCGCTGTGCTGAGAGCATGTTCTGCATTACCTGCTTGGGTCCTCACAACAGCCCAGTGGGAGAAAGGCACTGACATTATGATGCCCATTTTACAGATGAGGGAACTGAGGCTCAGTAGCAGAATGTGACTTGCTCAAGGTCACACAGCTAGTAAGTGGTGGAGCCAGGATTTGGACCCTGGCATCTGGCTCCAGGGCCCCTTCTCAAACTTCCTAGGAGGGCCTGGGGGCAGCTTCCCATATTCCTTCCTCAGACATGGGCCTCTCAGCAGGCCTGTCCTGCATTCTGAGTAGAGTCTTCTTATCTCTCTGTTCCAGGTCTGTGGGGTGTGGCGAGCAGTGCCTCGGTTGTCTCTGCGGCTCCTTAGGGCAGAACAGCTGCACGTGGCACTCGTGACACCCAGTCACCCTTCAGGGGAGGTCTGGGGGCCTCTCATCCGGCATCGGGCCCTGGCCGCAGGTGAGGGGAGCAAACAGCCCCTGGACGTGAAATTTGGAGTCTTCTCTACCCCCAGGAATGGAGTGGGCTGAGGAGGGGACTTTCTGGTGGGCTCTCATGGTCCTTTCTCCCCCAGAGACCTTCAGTGCCATCCTGACCCTGGAAGGCCCCCCACAGCAGGGCATAGGGGGCATTGCCCTCCTCACGCTCAGTGACACAGAGGACTCCTTGCATTTTTTGCTGCTCTTCCGTGGGCTGCTGGAAGCCAGGAGTGGGGGTAAGTGGAATGGGGGCAGCACATATGAGGAGGGTAGGGAGATCACCTATGTTTCAGAGGTATCCACATGTGCGGCTATTGCAGGACCAGCCCAGGTTCCCTTGCGGCTCCAGATTCTACACCAGGGGAAGCTACTGCGAGAGCTCCAGGCCAATGCCTCGGCCCAGGTGAGCAAGGGTCTGGCTCTTACTGCCACTGGTTCTGGCCTCTTGCTGTGCCCACCATACCCTGCTCTGCCCCCAGGAGCCGGGCTTTGCTGAAGTGCTGCCCAACCTGACAGCCCAGGAGATGGACTGGCTGGTGCTGGGGGAGCTGCAGATGGCCCTGGAGAGGGCAAGTGGGTCAGGGCTGCGCATCAGTGGACACATTGCTGCCAGGCAGAGCTGTGATGGTGAGGCAGGGCGAAGCCTGGTGCCCCGGGCACACACAACTGAGAGGCACAGAGAAGCGCCAGAGGAGGGGCTGGGGGGTAGAGGAGGGATCCTGGGGGCTGGGGGTGTGAATGGCCATGCAGCAAGCCTGCCTCCACCTGTCTCGCCCCTCTGCAGTTCTGCAAAGTGTCCTTTGTGGGGCCGATGCCCTGATCCCTGTTCAGACAGGTGCAGCTGGCTCGGCCAGCCTTACACTGCTAGGAAATGGCTCCCTGATCTACCAAGTAAGAGCTGGGGGATGGAGGAGGTGGGAGGGCAGCAGAGCAGGGCGGGGCTTTGGCCTGCAATGGTTCAGGGCCCAGGCCTTCTCTGCTACTCCAGTTTGCCCTCCCTGACCCTGCCCTCCAGGTACAGGTGGTAGGTACAGGCAGCGAGGTGGTGGCCATGACGCTGGAGACCAAGCCTCAGCGGAGGAACCAGCACACTGTCCTGTGCCACATGGCTGGACTCCAGCCGGGAGGATACATGGTGAGTGCTTCAGGCAGAGCAGAGCCGTAGGTCCCAGCACCAGAGCTGACAGTGCAGGGGGCTGTGGGAAGCCATGTTGGATGAGCAGGGATGTTCCGCGTCATTCACTCACTCACAGGCTCTCTCACTGATGCATTGATTCACTGGACACATTTTTTAGTGAGTCTCAGGCTAAAGACTGCAGTACAAAGAAAATCCGATGTGGCCCCTGTCTTCAGGAAGCTCATGTCAAGTGGAAGGAGTTATACAGGGAGACCAGTGCAGCAGATCACGTGATAGCAAACGTGATCGCAGTGGCTGCCGTTTATTGAGCCTTTCTATGTGTCACAAACTGTACTGGTTGTCTTGCGTCTGTTATTTTTGGCCCTCACAGTACTCATTTATAGATGGCGAAGTGAAGGATCAGAGAGATTAAATAACTCCTCAAGATGGTTGCATAGGTAGGAAGTGGCAGGGAAGGGACTTGAACCTGGGCCCGTCAGGTTCTTATCCAGTGTTACTGGTGTGAGGAAGTATGTATGGGTTTAGTGGGGGCACAAAACATGGAAAGGGTTCAGAATCTTGGGCTGGTGTGAAAGCTGAGGAGGGGTTCATCTGGGACCTGGCAGGCTACAGCTGGGGCTCACCCTTCCCTGCCCTCCAGGCTGTGGGTGTCTGCCCTGGGCTGGGTGCCCGGGGGGCTCATATGCTGCTGCAGAATGAGCTGTTCCTGAACGTGGGCACCAAGGACTTCCCAGATGGAGAGCTGCGGGGGCACGTGGCTGCTCTGCCCTACAGCGGGCACAGCGCCCGCCATGATAGTGAGTGCTCCAGGGGTCTGCCTGCCCTTTGGTGTCCTCTAACCTGTGACTCAGGCATGTGAGGGATGGTGCCAGAGGGCCAGAGCCTGGCATGGTGTCTTTCTCTGTGCCTGA